ACTAACATTAATATGCTTTAGACTTTGGTAATTTTCTTTGTATTGATTTTTTGATATGACAACTTGAACTTTGGTAAGTTCTTCGTATATCATTGATATCAGTGATGTTTATTATTCACACTGGAAGTTTTATCAACATGCAAAAGAATTTAGTGCGCTACTTATGCTTTATTATTACGTGTAAAAAATATAGAAATTGTCAACAAATCATTTTATATCTATATTGTTCTTTTCAATGTTCTCATTAATTACTGAATAATTTTTGTCTATCATCATCATCGTCAACAGCAACATAGAACTTCGTACGTACGTACGTACGTATATCAGTTCAAGTTGCAATACCACATTAGCACAGAGATGAGGTAACCGATTCAAATCCCATAATACATATCTGGGCAGCAACATCGACAATCAAGGTGGATCTGATGCAGATGTGATGGCGCAGATTGGCAAAGTAAGGGCTGCATTTCTACAGTTGAGAAATATCTGGAACTCCAAACAACTTTCAACCAAAACCAAAATAAGGATTTTCAATACAAATGTCAAGACAGTTCTACTGTATGGAGCGGAAACTTGGAGAACTAAGAAAGCCATCATCCAGAAGATGCAAGTGTTTATTAACAGTTGTCCACGCAAAATATTTTGGATTCGTGGACCAGACACTGTCATCAACAACCTACTTTCAGAGAGTACAAACTGGATGCCAGTGGATGAGGAAATCAGGAAGAATCGGTGGAAGTGGATAGGACCCTAAATTATGAAAGCACACAACTGTCTCACAAGACAAGCCCTCACTTGGAACCCTCAAGGCAAAAGGAAAAGAGGACGGCCAAGGAACACATTACGCCGAGAAATAGAGAAAGATATGAGAAGAATGAACGAAAATTGAACAGAACTGGAAAGGGAAGCCCAGGACAGGGTTGGTTGGAAAAGACTGGTGGGCGGCCTATGCTCGATTGGGGGTAACAGGCGTAAGTAAGTTAGTTGGTAATAGTAGAGAAAGTAGAAGTATCAACAGTTTTAAGAGAGATCACTGTCCGAAGATATAATTCAAGAAGTATAAACCAGTGAAATAACTTTATAAAGAGAAAGATAAAAGTGATGAAGAATTCAAATGGTTAGGATTTCAGCGAACACAAAGAATGAATGCACCGGCACCATTTCAAACGATTTTGAACCATGTAATTCAAGGTCTCCAACCCTCGATTACTATCATTTCGCGGACCCCAACCAAGTAGTAGACACCTATCGACATGACTTAATCCACTTGTCAGTGACTTAATGGATTTCTACCATCTTTGTCTATCAGATTGTATTATAACTTCAATATATTCAACATTAGTATGAACGCATATATATATATATATATATATATATATATATATATATATATATATGTATATGTTAGATAATGAATGTATCAGTATAATCTGTTGCGTAATATAAACCATTCGAAACTTTATTGATATTTCTGTTAATTCTTTAAAATTTCACTTGGCATTACTAATATTTGTTTTGAAAAACTCATTAATCATTTCAGTATTCTCTCTATGAGCTTAAAAATTACAATACATAATTGACACTATAACAAATTTTTTTCTAAAAATAAATTAGTTCCTATCAACTGCTGAACAAAAATACATACACTTTCAAACAAACAAAAAAATTATCAGTATAAAATAGATCATGCTGAGAAATTCTTTTCCTTAAAAATTTGTTATTATTATCATTATTATTCTGTGAATAGAAGAATATTTTCATTTTGCATAATATCACATTCAATTAGTGTGAAATGAACTGACATTCCTTTTTTTTTTTGTTTTTAAAAAAAACAGTTCATTGATACACATGTGATTGTTTTTTTGTAGTGGTGTAATTTATTTACATTGATTTTATTTAACTGGTTTTGCACATTGATTTTTTTTTCTTAAACCAATGTATACACGCTAACCGGGTATGTAAAATTCTTTTGATAATTAAATATTTTAAGTGAAGTGTTGTGTATCATATTAGCTGACAATGAAATGTAAGATCATGCATATCAGTTTGGTGTAGTTAAGAGTTCACCAATTGTCAAAGGGTTTGAGCTTGCATTCATGAGACAATTTCCATCTTGTTAAAGTTTTGATTAGTTTGAAATTTGTCAACAATACATAAATGGACATGTGATTAAGTGCTGACTTGTGAAGATGACTTTCAATCCATGATCGATCGATAGATGTGTATATTGTTCAAGAAGTAAAGAGGGATTTGTGTAAGTTGTAGAATTTTTATAGTCTCACTCACAAACTGATTATTAGCTAGATTGCTGTTTAAAACCTAAAAACGCCATATCTCCAATAAGTTATAATTTGGCACTCCTCAGCACTGCATATCAGTAATCTTGAATCGGGAAATTGAATCTAAGGCCGTCAATCTCGCACGCGAGTGCCGACATTCAGCAAGATACCTGTCTAGCTGTAAGTAATTCACGATATCGCTGAAACCTTTCAATAGATCAATGACTTAAATAACAGTGCTATGATAGGTCCAGATATTTGACGATATATTGGAAAACATGTGATGATAATAGGATTTCATGATGACTGTAAAAAGAAAGCATACTGCAAGTTTTATTACTTTATAAATGGTGTTACATTAAAACATATTAATCAAATTATAATTTAAATTTCCTCATTGACTAATAGTCTTATTCACGTTGATAGGTACATACTAATAGGAAATATCTTTTGTCACTAATTGGAGACTTCGATTTAGTCACACGGATTACAGTTGAACAGGTTTATTCACTCTTTCCTTGCTGTCCAAACATAATCTCAACATTTAGTCATTCTTCTCATTATGAATACGACACTATTCCAACTCCTTCACTATTCATCGAAATAATTTCATCTCATTTTGTCCTATTGAATGATCTAACAACCTGAGCCAATGGAATATTTTCTTCATGTCCTACAGTGATTGAAAAATTGCCTAATTAACTACCATTTAATACATTTTTCTACTTAGGATGAGAAGTTACGATGAATAAACGTCAGCAGTAGTACTGTTAGTAGTAGTAGTAGTAGTAGTAGTAGTAGTAGTAGTAGTGAATTATTTCTCTTCTAAATAGAATCGATTGCTTCTTATATGAGCTAATTTTAAGACATAAAGACATAGTAAACAATGTGTGATAGATAAATATGTTTTTCTTCAGCATATAATCTTTCTTCTCTAACTTGTTTTGTTATCTTTTGTTTTTGTTTGCGATAGCTGTCCTTGTTTTGTTTTTTTTTCATCTAAACGTTTTGGTGAGAATATAAACAAATATGATCACGTTAAGATGTGATTTATCATAGTTATTAGTAGTTCTAGTATATAAACATATATATGTATACATATGATACACGATTCAATAAAACATATATTATTTATGTAACGTTTCTACTAGATATATATATAAATTTATATCAATTATTCACGTAAAGATAAGTAAGCGCAGATAATTTCAACTAAAGTAGATCGTTTAAAATAGTTGATCATTGATTTACCTTTTCGGAAGCAGTGTTCAACTAAGTAAATGACTTCATAGACATAAATAAATCCATGTCCAATATGTAACAAAAATTTGTTTTATCAAAATAAGTTTGCCTAGTTTTTATTCATTCATTTATTATCGAAAAATCAAATGCTTAACGTTTTAGTCGAACATCACAATTACATATTGATTAGGTTGTGGGGTTGTTGTGAAGATTGTTAAGTTTTATTTGTAACCATGAATCGATCAATGTTAGACCACTATTGGAAATCTGGAAGCATTGGACAGCCGTTTCGTCCTGGTATGGGACTTCCAGGTTTCTAATGGTGGTCTAACATTGATCGATTCATGGTTACAAATAAAACTTAACAATCTTCACAACAATCCCGCAATGCAATTACATGTGTCCACTAGTGACTAGCTTGGTGAGGAATCTTCTCCAAGTTCTAGTGGGAAGTCGTGACCAGTGAAGTTCAAACCTGTTCGGATGTATACAGTGTGTATGAGGTTGCGCAACTCCGTGAATTTGATCAAGTTAGACATTAACACCGTTAGATACCGGCTCAGTGGTCTAACGGTTAGGGCGTTTGCGCACAATATCGAAGGTCTGATATTGATTAGGGTTAGTAAGATTATGGACAATGAACTTAAAATAATGTTGCTTTTAAATTTTCTTGTGATTTCCATTCATCAGTAAAATGTAGCAATATGTTTTTGATGGAAGGGATAAAAAACCATTATCCTCACTCCTATTCGTTATTTTTGATATAAATCTAAAGAGTGTAAGTTACTCATTAATCATTTGATTAAGTCAGTGTATATTGCAATCTGATTTGTATGATGTGATGTGATAACAACTTTCACACAAATTTCAAGCAATTAAAGTATTTTAACAAAAATATATGATGGCTAGAAATGAAATCCTAGACATTGGCCTCAAATTATTTAGGACTCGTCAGTTGGATGTACTTGCATTCTGAGGCAATCGGCACATGATGCACATCTGCTAAACATCAATGAAGCGATTCAAACAACAATTCACAAATTATCAGTGAAATATATATGTTTTACATTTTCACAAACTCTTAGACAATATGATATTGATTGCTTTTCAATAATCGATCAATGTAGATGACTTTTCCCGCAGGCAATTCAGTTCTTTTCTATATTTGAAGATATGCATTTAGATTGCAATTAATGTGTAATTAGATTGAGATAAATATTAAAACTAACTTGACTGGAAGTAAATACCATGATGAAGTGAAGCGGATATAATATTATCAGTAAATCATTCATTTGGTTCTGGTTATTCTTTCAATCTGAAAATATGTTTAAACTTGATTAACAGTAGAGCTTCCGTTGTCATTTGACTTGTTTTAACTTTTCGTGATCATCAAATTGGAAGATTATTGTATATTTAGAAAATTATTGATTTTTATTGATAACTGAAAATCTAAAACCAAACTTTTTCTTATTCATATAGGATTCTTCTACAATCTCTAAATTTTTCTGGTTTGGAAGCAGATGAAGCATTGAGATTGGTTGTTCATCGATTTGGGATGCCGGTAAGTCAATCAATTATTGGTAGAAAATTTTAATTCTGTACATATATTTTTTCTTACATATTATCTAAAAGTGTATTTAATGACAACTTTGTTGAAAATTAGTCATCCTCACTGTTATTATTCGCATTTAACTAATTTAAAAGTATTCTTCAGTTAGAGTTATGGAGATTATTGTTAGGTTAGGCGTCCGTGTGCAAGACCATATGTCCTGGGCTCGAATCCTGCGATTCTTGGACGAGCATGGCTGATGAGTCCCATATCAGGACCAAACGGTCGTCCAGTGCTTCCTGATTTATTCTAATGATGGTCTAACAATGGTTGTCGATTCATGATTTTTAAATGTAAGAAAAACATAATGTTTGAATGATTCACAAGAATTGCTTAGTTTCGTTTTCAATAAGAATTTCAATTATTTGTGGTAATTTTATGTAGGAAACAGATGTAAAAAGTTAAATACTACATATTATATCAAAATAAATCTTGATGTACGTTTGTTCACTCTTTTACAGAATTTCATACCAAATATGTTTAACTTAATTCGATATTATAAATCGTTCAGTGATAGTTGATTTGGATGGCACTTTGTTGTTTATATCCTGACTTTGATTTAAGGTTTATTTTATATAAAACGGAACCTAATGTTTTATTGAAACATGAAAATTTGCTTTCGGCTTAAACTTTACCTCCGAAATGTCTTAAGTGTAGAATATGAGGGACTAGCAATTGTGAATTACATTAGGCGCTAATAATTTCCTAATGAAGGCTTCACAATTCAATCATCTTGCACATTTGAAATCATCAATCAATCATTGTTAGACCACCATTAGAAACCTGGAAGCACTGGACGGACGTTTCGTCCTGGTATGGGAGCTCATCAGCAGTGCGCATCCAAGACTCCTGCTCCTCGCAGGATTCGAACCCGGGACCTTAGGCATTGTAGGCGAACGCCTTACCATCGGACCACTAGGCCGGCATCCAACGGTGGATGCACACTGCTGATGAGTCCCATACCAGGGCGAAACGGCCGTCCAGTGCTTCCAGGTTTCTAATGGTGGTCTAACAATGATTGATTGATGATTTCAAATGTATAAAAGCGCAAACCTCCAAAACTCTGCCCCAAAATATCAATCATCTTGCTTGAAAAAACTACTCAACAACATCAATAACGTTTAATTGTCTACACTTATGTGTATTAGTAATGAACTTACTCGAATGACTGGTTACCTCTAATATCTGTCTGTATCTGAGATTATTTGTTAACATCTCCACATCTCTATTGTTTTTATATTTGTCTAGTTACTTGACACTGCCAATTCTATTTGAACTAATTTCCCATGACACTCATAACGACGTATAAACACTTTCGTTCTTCATCATTCATATACTCAGTTGAACATAATACGCATTGATGAATAAATCTGTTTGGTTAAGTAATCAGTCAAAAATATCCATCATATCTCATCATTTCATTCCAAGTTCATCTATTACCCTCATTCCATAAAATCGACTCAATAAGCTTTTCTTTTTTCTCATATTTTCATAATTTCTTTATTATTATATAGAGAAATAAATTTTTACTATATGTGTAAACGAAAAATAAATACAAGAGAAAAACAGTTATTCTCTTCTTCTCCTTTTTTTTTAATTTATTTTCTTGACCTTAATTTTCAAATTTGATTGCATTTTACACTTACAAAATAATCCTCTTTTAATGCTGTTCATCAATTCTTCACTCGATTTTTTTTTCCTAATGACAAATGAATTTGTTACAAACAATAATGTGATTTACATTATCACACGGTTTTTAATTTATTCTGGACACTATTATTATTATGATGATGATTACTATTTCAAGAGAAATTATGTAACCTCAAAAAAACAGAAAGGATTATCCCAATTACTTACTTATGTGTATCTTCTATTCTTTTCTTTTCATCTGTGTGTGTGTGATGTTTTCCCGCTCAATTCATCGATTATCGATTGATTCATCGATTTTTATTGCTTCTTTTATTATGGTGTATGAGCAAACCGGAAAAAAAACAATAAAAAATACAATCACTGAAAAGTGATGATTTCCCTTGCATAGTCCACTTCACTTCCATTCACTTGTTTAATCCATACGTGTGTGTGAGGGTGTGTGTGTGTGTGAGTGTGTGTGTGTGTGTGTGGCTGTGTGTGGGTGTGTATAGCTATGTGGATCACAGGATGTAAATGTAGTAGTTACGCTCCAACTACACACCAATAAATTGTCTTCTTTTCTTCATTTAATAAAATATTATTAATTTACACTTCATTTATCTGTTTGTAGTAGTATTTTACTAGTTTTTTAAATCAATAAGTATTATCATATTGTATTGCAATGTTAGTTTGGGAAAGGAATTTCATTTTGTTCAATTGGTTTTAAAGGAAAAAAGATGATGGTCGTTAATTATGTAATGATTGCATTGATAGGATTTTGTTTTTGTATGAAGATGATAGTTTTGTTTAGTTAAACTATTATAACTGGGAGATTTCACTTGAAACAGTTGAAACGAATAGTGTGATTGTTAAAATAAAGGATCCAACAATATTTCTGTCTACATGATTTATTATGTTAATTGTCTTTCTGGTATAACTAAGATATGAGCAGATAATAGACAAAAATTAGAAACAATGAGGGCTGATGTTCCCGTTCTTATTTTTTCTGTCAGTTTAAGTTATATGGACAATGACTGCGATTCATCTTTTTTGACACAGTGAGAAGAACGATTAATCATTGTTAGATCACTCCTAGAAACGTGGAAGTATTAGGCGGCCGTTTCTTCCTGATATAGGACTCATCAGCAGTGCGTATACATGACTTTTGCAACACACAGGTTTAACAATGATTGATTGATGATTTTAGTGTGTGAAAACATTAATCTCCATAAATCTAATTGAAAAATTCGTAAAATGTGTTCACTAGTGACCAGATTCGTGAGGAAATTCTCGGAGTTCTAATGAGATGTGACAGGTGGAGTTTAACGCTGTCACGTGTAAGCAGTAACTACCAAAATCTCTAGATTGATCAGAGCCAGACATTAACACCGTTGGATGCCGGCTCAGTTATCCAGAGGTTAGTCATTTATGCGTAAGACGGAAGGTCCTGGGTTCGAATCCTGCGAGGTACAGGAGTCGTGGATGCTCACTGCCGATGAGTCTCAGAACAGGACGAAACAGCCGTCTTTCAATGCTTCCAGATTACTAATGATGGTCTAAAAATCATTGATTGATGATTTCAATGTGTAAAAACACTAATCTCCATAACTCTATTTGAGAAAATCATTTTTTGTCGGGGGGTTTATCTCGTTGATACTGTTCAGAGGATCTTAGGCTCAATAACTTTTGTGCGGTTATAATAATTCTTACCACTTTTATATTACTTTCTAGTTCTTAAACTCAAAACGTTTCTAAGTATTATCAATGTAGGGTTATGGAGATTGTTGAGTTTCACTGAGGAGTCCCCTAAATTCTGAGGCGAAATAGCTGTCCAGTAGTGCTTCCACATTTCTAATGATAATCTCATATTGATCAGTTCGTGATTTTCATAAAACATTTTATTTATGGTTTAATGTAATCTATCTTGTTCAACTCAATATCTTGTCATAAATTTTTATGTCAGTTATACAATGAGATGATACGGACATATAAAATCTTTTTACAAACAATAGAATTTAGGTTAGATTATTACTGGAACAAAATATCTGATTTCACACGTTACATAATTTATTGATGAACTGTCACAATCATGAAATAATACTTACAGTCAGCATATCGCTAGTATGATTATTCGCTTAAATTCCTGATGAAAGATAAATGAACGTTATCCTGAGCATTCTATTTAGATGAGGGAGAGTGGATGATTGCTATATATATATATATATATATATATATATATATATATATATATATATATATATATATATATATATATATATATATATATATATATATACTCAAATAATTCACTTCTTACATACTTCTTCCTTGCTAACCGTATCGTAGCATTTTTATAATAACAATTTATCTCTACTGAGTATATATTTATTGATTAATTCACATAAACTCATATAAATTTCTTTGGTAAGGTATATTGATCAAGCTGTTTTTTTCTCCATTCTCATACCTTATATTCATATACATAATGAGCTTAATACAGTGAACTTGTTTTGCCAGTGGTATGATACACTTAAATAATAGTACTTATATATTGGATAAAACTCATTAAGAAATGCGACAATAATAGTAATAAAAAAGCGAATTTTACATTAATCAATAAAAGTACATTTTATTCATAAAATAATTTAACCTCCTTTGATCGGAACTGTTAGTCGACTGGGTGAAGGGTAAACATATCCTTGTAAAGTTTAGTGCGCATCATACAATTCGTAATAAATTTCTCAATAAATTGAATACAAATCTAAAACTTTATCTACGGTAGTAAATTAAAGTGTATTGTTGAATTTGATGTTCAAGGTTATACAATAAAATATTTTGAATAGGAAATGATAGTTTTTTTCTTTCAAAAGATGATTAATTTTTATTACCTATAATGTATAATGCTTTGTAATTTTTATTATTTTAGTCAATAAAAATTAATCAGTATTAGTATGGAGGATTTATGAAGATTGTAGTATTTTCACAGTAGAAATAAAGAGTTGTGCAGTTTGATCAAGTGACACCATTAGATGCCAGTTAGCGATGGTCAGTTAGTCAATTACTTCGTAGAACTTCGCACGTACATACATCAGTTCAAGTTGCCATACTACATTCGCGCAGAGATGCAACTGTCAAATCAAATCTCATAGTAGTAGAGGTAGTAGAAGTATTAGCAATAATCAAAAAGATTAATGATCGAATATCTCTCAATGAAAAAACAGTCATGGAGGGTTCAGAAGATTAGAATTTTAGAGAACACAAAGAATGAATGCATCTGCGCCATTGCAAACAATTTTGAGAAATGTCATTCAAGGTATCGAACCATCAGTTACTATCATCTCGTGGACGCCAACCAGGTAGTCTACATTTACCAACATGACTCAAGGCAGTTGTCAGTGATTTCATGGACTTATGTCATGTTTTGGTTTGGCCGCCCCTAGGTTAGATGCGGTCTAGATGTTAAGTATTTGCGCTCAAAACAAAGGTCTTAGGTTCCATTCCCATGATCAGTCGTAGATATGTTCTACTGAAGACTTCCACACAAGGACGAAACAGCCATCCAGTGCTATTTAGCTAAAACCAGTTCGTAGTTTCATCTGTGAAGATCATAAAATATGCATAATTATGCAAACTTTTATTTTACAATTTCTTTAAATCTCTTTCAAAGTAATTTTTCGGTTTCCTTTTCATCTCGATTTCTTTTTTTAAAGACAATAATAATTTCAATTTTTTTTTAATTTATCATTTACAGTTTCCACAATTATCATTTTCTTTGATCTAAATTACATGGATTTTGCAAGAAAAAAAAACAAAGGTGTTTTTAATTTAGCTAATTGTTTATAAAAATTACAATTTAGCTATATATAAAGTGATCAAAAAAACAGTCGGAGATTTTTTTTTAAGAAAACATATGAAATGAAACTAATTTTTTTCATTTAGTCAGTCATTTGAAAAACAATTAATATATAGTTTTAAATAAATTTTATTCTTTTATGCTTATATATTAGAAGTCTAAAACTACAATGTATTTAATAATTGTAGGCGGTTAAACATTATTAGCAGAATGTTCCAAAACCTTAGTTTCTGACTTATTACCAGAGCGTACCTCCAATCCTAAAGAATAATCTATGCTCCCTATTGGATTCAAATCTTCATCACCTAGTGGGACATGTGTAACGAATGCCTAACCACCGACTGCCTCGACGAGCTATATTTTGTGGTGTAGGAGTAGACTGGACAAAAGCTAGTGGCGGCCAAACCAAAACATGGCACAAATCCATGAAGTCACTGACTAGTGGACTGAGTCATGTTGGTAGATGTTAACTACCTGTTTGGAGTCCGCGAGACAAAAATAACCAACGATTAGAGACCTTGAACTACATGGCTCAAAATCGTTGTGCTCTCTCAAATCCTAATCTTCTGAATTCCTCATAACCTCTACCTTTTTCTTTCTAATCTTATTTCACTGAATTATACTTCTTGAATAATATCTTCAAACCCTAATCTTCTTCATTACCATTAATACCTCTACTATCTTTATCACTATGGGATTTGATTTGATATTTGCGTCTCTGTACTAATGTGGTATGGCAACCTGAAGTTATATACGTACGTGCGAAGTTCTACTTTGCAACTGACTGACTGGACCAATAAACACTAATTATTTCAACGCAATGATGACTCTGTTACTTCATTGACAGCGTTTAGTTGAAAGTTAAGAATTAAAAAAACATGACACCATTCACTGCTCACTCAGTAATCAATTCATACTAAAGTCAACTATTCAACTATAGATGCTTCTCAAAGATTTTCTATCTTTAAAGTCAATCCATCCACACTTATCTGGGTAATTAATTATACATACAATAAGTGCTAACCGAAAACGTTTACTTTATTACTTCATAACAAAAAAATAGATAAAGTTCTTACTAGTTTGAGATATTTGCACTGTTTAAGTATATAATATTTTTTACTACAGTTATAATTTCTAAACTCATTATATATTTATAACTATGTCATGATTGGTCAAATAAATTTCCCATTGATTTGCCTCGATTTTATCTAAGTTTCTTCAAACACCACTACATTCATTGATCAATAGTTATATCCTCCATTAATTTAATGAATTATTAAAAATCAAATGTTGACAAGCATTAATCATCAAAACTCAACATTTTTAACAGCCAGAGTAATTATTATGCCCGATTTTTTTATAAACGAACATACTACTCAATGCTACTTTTTCTGAAAAAAAAATCTACTATCCTTTTTCATAATCTGCATTACGGGGTTGTGAAGATTGTTAAGTTACACATTTTTTGAAACCATGAATCGATCAATCTTAGACCACCATTAGAAACCTGGAAGCACTGGACGGCCGTTTCACAATGGTATGAGACTCCTCAGCAGTGCGCATCCACAACTCCTGCACCCCACAGGATTCCAACCCGGGACCTTTGATATTGTGAGCGAACGCCCTAACCGTTAGACCGCTTAGCCGGTATCCAACGGTGTTGATGCCTAACTTGACCAAATTCACGGAGTTGCGCAACCTCCGAAGACTGTGTATGAGGTTGCGCAACTCCGTGAATTCGATCAAGTAAGACATTAACACCGTTGGATACCGGCTCAGTTTTTCATAATCATCAAAAACAAATAACTGTACAATATATTGTTTGGTAAGCGAAAATTTCGTCTAAATCAAATCATGTTTGTATTTTGATTACTGTTTACTAAATATTATCCTAAGTAGATTTACAGTTGACAATACTTATATTTACTTTCTACGTAACAACCTTGTTTGTTTCTAATCTTTGGATAACCTCAAGAAAAAAAAACATAAAACCAAAAATAAAATAACTAATTATCTTTCTATTTTTTTTCTCTTACCAATCTTGCATAGATGGAATCGCAAGAAATCGATCGGTTATTACAATGTATTGCTGAATATTATCATACAGTTCGATGGTGTTCAACATCTGTTAATTCATCCAACGCCTCTTCCACTACTAATAACTATCAGACGAAATCTTTAACACTTCCTGCTCCTACTCCTTCTCCTCCTCCAATCACTGTAGATCAATTATCATTATTATTTTATGCTATTCTCTTATTACAAACCAGTCTTCATAATGTGAATGCTGCGAAATCCGGTTTAGGCAAACAGAGTGTTAGTCAATTTATCAAAAATGTACATGGTAAGTAGAAGATTATATATATATATATATATATATATATAACTAATCAATCGCTTAACATAAATCACTGCCCCATTTACCTATCATTATCATTAATCAAAGTAATTTGACATGTGTACTATATGTCGAGATGTGGGTTGATTGGAAAGGGTCTGCAGTAAACGCTATTTGTTTAACGTTGTCTGTTATCCCCCAGTCATCAATAGAACTTACCTACAGTCTTGATGGAAGTACTGGATACGAATCTGCGTCACATAAGTCCACAGTTTTAAGAACGTTAATACTGTGCTATTCAGTCCTGGACTTACATCCTATAGGAATGATTAACCACTGAGCATTGAGTAATGTCATATACGTCTACTCCCCTTAATTCTATTCAAATTCCATACAATTTATTTATTTAGAAAAACTAAGGGTCTTCTTATCAACATCATATACATTATAGACTACACAGACTCATTGGATTAATAATCATTATGTTCATTGTTCAAACTAATAAGAAGTTCAATTCTTATCATGATAGTTGAGCATAAATCTTCAATAATACGTTGTTTTTATCTGCTTCTTAACAAATCTTCAAAAACTATAAACAGAATGATTTCTATGACAAAGTATATAACATCGATAATATTCTTTTACAAATATCTTGCCTAATATGAAAATTATTATTCCTTATGTAGTAGAATTGTAAGTGATGCGCACTATGCATTTTTCTCTTGACAGAATTAGTTCTTGTTCTTCAATATATCTTTGCGTTGAAAATAGAAATACAAATGAATCAATTTCGGGAATGATTTTTTCTCCCTTTTACGCCATTCAGCGACAATAGCAATTTTAAATCGGTTTGTAATATTCATGACAATCAAAAGTGTTATTTAGTTTATCTGTTTTGTGTATATGTGTACACATAGCGTATTCATAATATTTTATTTTGAAATAATGTAAGATTATATTTTCTATCACAAACCAAAAGTCAGCATGTTTTAATTTTTACATTGAATATGTTCAACATATGTAATGAACCTATATCAGTGAAAATTCATTGTTTGAAATCAATGCCTATACGCACAAATATTGATTTCCAAAGTAATAAGTCCGTGAGTTAGCTCAAGCTGACGTTCAACCTTAAACACAACAAGATAAATTTGGAAAAAAAATACAGATGAACCTTGTTTGAAATAATCTCAAAAAATAAGTTCACTTGGATAATACAGTTTAATACACATTTGAAATCATCAATCAATCATTGTTAGACCACCATTGGAAACCTGCAAGCACTGAAAGACGGCCGTTACGTCCTGGTGTGGGAATCATCAGCAGTGCGCATCCACGACTCCTGCTCCCCACAGGATTCGAACCCGGGACCTTTGGCATTGTAGGCGAACGCCTAACCATCGGACCACTGGACCGGCATCCAACGGTATTAATGTCTAACTCTGATTGATCTAGGGATTTCGCGCGACCTCACACATTTATTGTCTTTGGTAGTTACTGCCTACACCCACACAGGGTTGAACTCCATTTGGTCACGTCTTCTCAACTAGAACTCCGAGAATTTCCTCACGAAGCTAGTCCTTAGTGAGCATCGTTACGATATTTTGGGGCACAGTTTTGGAGGTTTGCGTTTTTTACACATTTAAAATCATCAATCAATCATTGTTAGACCACCATTAGAAACCTAGTTCAAGAAAAACGATTAATGCCATCTCAATTATTCTGAAAGTTGATCGATGTTTGTTAAAAATAATAATTTTGCGTTTAAATATTAGTACGTTTATAGACATAGTTTCAAGAAGTTTCATGCTAAGACGAAAATCTGTCCAACACTTCCTAGTTTTTAAGAAACGTATAAGAACAATATTTTAAATGTGAACACTTCGATTGCCTCGAACAGACAAAAATAAAAGATATCTATATAAATCGATATTTGTACATAAAAATAAAAATTTATTTCATTCTACTAATTTGTCATTGGTTGTTTGTAAACTTGGATAATACTAATAAATAAAAAATTTTTACAAAAAAAAATAGTATCAGTTCATATTTCAAAACACAAAAAATAGTTGAATATAAAATCATCAGTTAGAAGAAAATACAATAAAATAAAACTATATGAAACTTGTGTTAATTGAATTACAAGAAATAATATTCATAAAGATCTGTTTAGTTTTTGTGTAAATCATACGAAAAAACCTTTGAACATTGAACTGAACTGAAAACAAATCCATGGTTAAATAACCAGATAACTAGGAAAAAAACATCTGAATACATTTGTTTAAGTTACTTACTTACTTACGCCTGTTATCCACAATGGAGCATAGGCCACCCACCAGTTTTCTCCAACAAACTCTGTCCTGGGCTTCCCTCTCCAGTTCTGTTCAATGTTTGTTCATTCCTCTCATATCTTTCTCTATTTCTCGGCGTAATGTGTTCCTTGGCCTTCCTCTTTTTCTTTTTACCTTGAGGGTTCCATTTGAGGGCTTGTCTCGTGACGCAGTTAGGTGCTTCTCGTAGTGTATGTCCTATCCACTTCCACCGCTTCTTCCTGATTTCCTCCTCCACTGGAATCTGGTTTGTTCTCTCCCACAGTAGGTCGTTGGAGCTTTTAATGTACGGACATTGTGTCAAATAGGGCAACAGGCATCATTAGCTAGGACTTTAGAAACTCGTGCCATCGATGTATGCTGCGTCTCGGAAACGCGCATACAGGATCCTAGTAAAGTCATTAACCTGATTCCACCTTATCAAAACGAAGAAGCAGCTCGATTTACTCTTCG